GGCTGCTCTCTGCTCCGTGCCTCACGCCCCCCCCCCCCATGTTGTTAGGTGACCTTGGGTCCTTCTGTGTGCTTGGGATTCTCTGGGGGTTCAGTGTGTCCTGGGACTCCCAGCCCTTCAGCGACCTGTGGAGGGAGCATGTTGGGGGGATTAAGTCTGCCAGAGGAGATGGTGCTGGAGGGACACGATGTGGTCTACCGATTGTTGATTTGCATTCCTGATTCTGTGTCCTTCGTCCCCTTTTTTGGCGACCCAGGTGTGTCGGGCTCTCAATGCGATGCTCACGTGGGCACTGGCCGGGTATTGTACATCATTACAGCGTATTGTCGGGAAAGCTGGTGACACCGCCCTGGGGGATAGCATCCAGAGTTGACCCTCCTCTGAGTCACCACCAGGCTGTGTCTCTGAAATGAAGGGCGGGGCTGGGAGACCCCTCCCCACCCCAATGAAGCCTGCTCAAAAGCTCCTCAGGTCAGGGTGCAGTTCGGCCCCCTCATTCCCTTGGTTCCCTGGGCCAAGCCCACAGAGGGAATCTCACATAGGTAGCTGAAACACACCTTGCTGAATACCACCAAGGGGGATGTTTGGGTCAGTTTGGGGAGAGCCCTGGGATTATTATGACAATGACACCCACCTCCACCTTGGAACCCCTCCATTCTCCTCTCCAATTCAGGGTCTTTTACTATGACCCCTTCTTCTGGCCCCTGAGGGGCCAGGGAAGGCTGAGGTGAGAAGGATGCCGTGGAGGGGACCAGGGTGAGCCCCTGCTCGTGCTGCTGGGAGACTCTATCCTGGGCTCTGCCTGCTCCTTTGCTCTGCAGGGGTGAGGGAGGGGATCTCTGCCAAAGCCCCCACACATCTTGTGCTCTGGCTGCACTAGATGTAGACCAGGTTGGAAGGAGGATGTTTAAGGGCTTCGCTTCTATCTTCCATGCAGAGCTTGGAGCATGGAGCCTAGGTAAGGAGGGGGGCCCTGAGCCAGCAAATAAACATTTCCTAACTGGAAAGAGACCTCGTCCCTGTGCTGGGGAGCCTGCCAGGTGGTTGAGGCAGGACTGGAGGCATGAATGATGGAAAGGGTAGGATGGGATGGGGGTGGGCAGCCCTTCTGCTCATAGGGGCATCAGGACACCAGTCGTGTGGAATTGGGCTACTAAAAAGGGAACCTAGCACCATGTGCTGAGGCAGGGGGTTGGCTGAGTAACCTCCCTGGATCGTTTGGTCAATTTGGGGGATGCCGTCACAGCCCAGTTCTCAGCCCCGGCACTCACAGAGGCTACATCAGCCCTGGGCCTGGCACTGATCTGGATTCATAATGAGACTGGTTGGTCCCTCTCTCCCCTCAGGTATCAGAACCCCCTCTTTGTTCCCTGGGGGGAACCTGGGAGCTATTGGGTCAAAGCCCAACCAGGAATTTTTCCAGGCTGGTTCCTATATGTAAGGGTGGGGTGGGGGGCCTCGGGAGCACTCAGGGAAGACCGGGGGAGTTGGGGGAGAAGGGAGCTTTGAAGGAAGGGGGGGACTGGGGGAAAGAGGAGAGAGGCTGCCAGCTGGGAGAAGTAGGCAAGGGACCCTGGGGGTCTAGGGGTACCAAGGAGAAACCCCAATTCTGTTCAGAAGATGAGCTAAGAGCCTGGGCTGGGGCTGATAGAAGGCTTGGCCCCCAGCCTGGTGGGAGCTCCGGGCAGCTGGCCTACAGACGTTCCTTAGCGTTGGTGAGTAGGTTTGAATCATCACTTAGGCCCTGGCCTCCATCCGCCCCCACCAGCCCCCTGGCCTCAGTTCCCTGGCAACATCTGGGGTTGGGGGGGAGAGCAGGAACAAGGGCTTCTGTCTGCCCGGCTGCCTCTCCCTTTGGGCTCTGCCAGACTCCACAGTGCATACGTGGGCTCCAACAGGTCCTCTTTCCTCTGGGCCACTGACTAACCCCAGAACCACACGGCTTCCCATTTTCAGCCCCACAAACTTAGTGCCAAATAATTTTCCCCAGGAAAGTCTCCCTGGACACTTCCCAAAGGACCCCAGTCACCCCAGTCTGTTGGCTGTAGCTCACTCTGATGTCAGCAGGCCAGATGAGGTCTCCAGATGGGCACATTGTCCACATGGGTACATCATGTCTCCTGTGCCCAGCATTGGGCTCGCTGCACACGGGTCCATTCGAGTCCCAAACATGCCTCTGTTAGGGAGGGCAGAAACGAGGGAGTCAGGGGTAGTGTCCCTCCACCCTCTTCCTGAAGCCCATTCCCTCTTAAGCCAGAGCTGGGGTGTGCGGGCAGTAGTCACTAGGGGGCGCTCGGCCACCACAGGGAAGCTGGTGAACTTGGGAGAGCAGCGTCTGCGTGTGAGTGAGGACGCGTGTGTCAGTGTGAGTGTGTGTGTGTGTGGGGGGGGCGGGCTGAGAGTGCTGGAGTGGGAAGAAGGCCAGGGGTCACCCCAGGATTCCAATAGATCTGTATGTCCTTCTCCCCACCCGTCCCTATCCGACTCCCTGCCCGCCCCGACGCCCCTCCCTCCAATATTCCCAGCAAAGAAGGAATAGCTCTCGAGCCCTGTCCGCACATAACCTCACTTTCCTGTTCCCTTCCCCCCAATACCACGCGGGCGTGTGTGTGTCTGGGCAAAGGGGGGCGGATGGGTAATTTTCGGGCTGTGAACCTAGGTGGGGGTCGAGCTTCCCCTTTACGGGTAGGGGGGCAGGCTTTGCTACACGTCCCAGGGGAAGGCCCGAGGGGCACGCGGGGCAGCGGGAGAGGCGCCGAGACTGGGCCTGTCCCCGCCCCCAGGGCGTTCCAAGGGCGGGGTCCAGGCGGGGACAAGCCGGGTCTGATTTTTAAGCGGCCGCTAGTGGTGAGGAGCTCAGAGGCTTGGGGCAGCCGGGCTGCGAGGAGGCCGCGGCGCGGGGGGCGAGTGGAGCCGGCGGCAGCGGCGCTGGGTCGGGAGGCGCAGCGGCGAGGCGGACGAACCGGCGGGGTCACTAGCCAGAGGTCTCCGCACTGGAATTTGATATTCATTTATCCAGGGTTTACCCTCCTCTTTTTTTTTCTTAAGCAATTTAAAATATCCACATTTTTTCCCGTTTTAATTTATTTTTGCTTCCCATTCCCCGCTTAAATCGGGCCGACCGTTTGGGGAGATTGCTCCTTTACTTCTCCCAATCACTTCGGATTTTGGAAACCAGCAGAGAGAAGAAAGAGGTAGCAAGAGCTCCAGAGAGAAGTCGAGGAAGAGAGAGAGACGGGGTCAGAGAGCGCGCGCAGGCGAGCGAGCAACGACAGGGACAGGGGCAAAGTGAGTGACCTGCTTTTGGGGGTGACCGCCAGAGCGCGGCGTGAGCCCTCCCCCTTGGGATCCTGCATCGGACCAGCAGCGCTGACGGACAGACAGACAGACACCGCCCCCCGCCCCAGCGCCCACCTCCTCCCCGGCCGGCGGCCGAGGGTGGACGCGGCGGCGAGCCGCGGGCAAGAGCCGGAGCCCGCGCCTGGAGGCGGGGTGGAGGGGGTCGGGGCTCGCGGCATTGCAGTGAAACTTTTCGTCCAACTTCTGGGTTGTTCTCGCTCCGGAGGAGCCGTGGTCCGCGCCGGGGCAGCCGAGCCGAGCGGAACCGGGAGAAGTGCTAGCCCGGGCCGGGAGGAGCCGCAGTCGGAGGAGGGGGAGGAGGAAGAAGAGAAGGAAGAGGAGAGGGGGCCGCGGTGGCGACTCGGAGCTCGGAAGCCGGGCTCATGGACGGGTGAGGCGGCTGTGTGCGCAGACAGTGCCCCAGCCGCGCGCGCGACCCAGGCCCTGGCCCGGGCCTCGGCTCCGGGAGGAAGAGGAGCCCGCCTAGGCGCCGAGGAGAGCGGGCCGCCCCGCAGCCCGAGCCGGAGAGGGAGCGCTAGCCGCGCCGGCCCCGGCCGGGCCTCCGAAACCATGAACTTTCTGCTCTCTTGGGTGCATTGGAGCCTTGCCTTGCTGCTCTACCTCCACCATGCCAAGGTAAGCGGCCGTGCCCACCAGGCGTCGCGGGCCGCTTCGAGCGCCTCTCCCCGCTGGGGACGTGCGTGCGAGCGCGCGCGTGGGGGCTCCGTACCCCACGAGGGTCCTTGGGCACCGGGCGCGCGGCTACCCCCTCAATCCTCGTACGTGTAGGGGGAGGGGGCGCGCGCTAGGTGGGAGGGCACCAGGATAGAATCTCACCGCCCACGCGGGCCCTGCCCACCCACCAGAGTCACCGCACGTACGATCTGGGCCGACCAGCGGAGGGCGGGAGCCGGAGGAGGAGGCCGAGGGGGCTGGGCTTGCGCTGCCGCCGGCGGCTGAAGTTTGCTCCTGGCCGCTGGTCCCCGACGAACTGGAAGTCCAGGCAGCGGGGGCGGGAGCCGGAGCCCAACGGGCAGGGGGGTGCCCAGACCTTGGACCGAGGGAGGGCTGAGAGCGTGGAGGGGGCAGGGCGCGGGCGAGAGAGGGGGCTTGCTGTCACTGCAGCTCGATCTCTTCGGCCCTCGCCACGAGTTTGAGAAAAGTTTCGGGGTGGGTTGCCGAAGGGACCCCCGGTCTCCGCCGGGCCACCTGCGCCAAGGCACCCCCGCCCGTCCCCGCTCGCGTCCCGCTCGGTGCCCGCCCTCCCCCGCCCGGCCGGGCGCGCGCGGCGCGGAGCCGATTACATCAGCCCGGGCCTGGCCGGCCGCGTGTTCC